ATGTGTAAGTAAGTAAACTGACCGTGAAGTCAACAGGCACTCAGAAGCCCTGAAAGGGAGAATAAGCAATATGTCTAAAGTTCACTAGTTCAGGGGTAAAAATCCCTGAGAGACAGAAAAACAACAAACCCGTTTTCTTTGATGGAAAGATGTTTGTCAAGGGACATTGCCAACAGAGAGCCATTAAGATAAACTATAAGATTGAAGAGCAACAGTAAGACAGAGCAAGGAAACCAATCTGTAATGCTAGGTAATGAGGAATGCCTCTGTGGGGGAGCATGGGACTTCACCAAGGCTGCCTACCTGCAAGAAAAGCGTTCAGCAGAAATATACGCAGATACACAAAGCACAAGATATATACATGCTAATCTTGTTACTAAGGTGGGAAAGATTTTTATAGCATGTGTCAAAAACTATAACCCCGCTTAATTATAAACAGCATACAAGTGACCTCAAGTTAAACTATGAACAAGAATAAACAAAATATTGGACTCCCAATTTCAAAAGTCACCACCAAGACATTTATTACTTGAAGCCAGTAGACTAAGAAACACAAATCTGTATATTTTTTCTGTTGCTTGATGCCAGTGCAGAATTGCTCAGCGACAAGTACTCAACAGACCAGGTCACTGAATTCTCTGACCTGGAAACTGATCTTGAGGGCAGCAAGCCTCTGACCTTCCACCTCAAGTCCCTGAGCTGCTGCTGGACATCAAAACAACTCTACTGCTTCTACTTTGTGAGTCACACCCCAGCACAGTTCTGTTCCTTGCTGCATGCTGTGACAAGGGTCCCGACTACATCCTCCTCCTCCTCCTCCTGAAGCCTACTGCACATACAGAAGTTGCACCACTGAATTATGATGCCGTGCTGATTTTCAATGCTACTTAAGATAAGCAGGTCAAGCTAGCTCAACCAAACATAAGATAACTCATACTGTTCACTAATCTGAGCCTTCAGAATAGTGGAAGAAAATTGCAGTACTTCCAGGTTTCTGAAGCATCCAAAGCACCCAGAAGCCTGTTACATCTGAGAGACAGATAAGCAACACTTGGAGGAAAGTGGGGCATCAATGGTGAAAGCAAGTCAAAGTTGACTTCAGTCTAAAGATCTAAGCCTAAAGGTTAATACAGATTTCACATATATTTCACAGTGTATTTATGTCTATGACCAGCTACAGGTTTAGAACTATTAGCAACTAAACAAGAGTTTTAAAAGCAATCTTTAGGTTCTGACCTAAAGATCTATAAATTACCACTGTGGAGGGATGATCTAGTTTGAAATCAGATTATCTTTAAACTAAATGGAGAGCAATCCTTATGCTTAAGCGAGGCCCTCATGCTAGCCACACTTGCTCAAGAGCAGAGCAGGACTCTGAAGAACAGATGTTGATTGCATGTGCCCTGTGCTATTTTAACATCAAATTTCTTTATATCATTTATGTCACTTCCTTAAGAGGATAGCAGTTAAGCCAAGCTACCCCAGCACCACTTCAGTGCAACTATGCGCTTAGTTTATGAGAATGGAGTGGCAAGTTCTCAAGAGATTTGCTGATGTGTTACTTCATCAAAAGGCCTTAGGAAAATAGCAGCTACTGAGGAAGAACACTTCACCTTTCCCTTCCCGCGAGGCATTCTCCAGCATGCTTCTCCCGAGGAAGACACATCAAACTGTCACAGCCTGATTTGTGATAGCTTTCCCTCAGAAAACCCCCATTTTATTAGGGCATTTGTTCCACATAGGGATGTGCAGTTTTATAGGAGAACTGCTGTTCCAATCCTCTAAATGGACTCTCCAGACTTTAGGCTTTTGCCCTAGATTTAGGTCACTAGTAATTGGACGTGTGGAAAATGTACAGGCTCAGTTCAGTGTTGCTTAATTAATTTCTTAGTCTGTTGTTTTGGCAGTCATCCTACAAAACAGAACAGTTGGATATTTAAACTTGTATTGTAGAATACATTTTGACCGACTATTTTGGTACTAGAGAAAAACATTTCATATTGCCTGGAGTACAAAGTGAAATCAGGTTTTAGTTGCTCAGGTGAGACTATGAGGCTGGTTAGTGAAAAGGAATTATGTCTGTTTTATAGCATTCAGACTGGAAAAAAGCACAGCAGAAAACACAGAAACCCAAAGACCTTACCAAGAGCTTCTCAAGATGAAGAACGGAACTGACAGGTGCCAAAATCTTGCAACCAATGGAGCAGAATCAATTATAGAAACTTTCTGTCTGGGACATCATATTCCCAAGCACCTACTGAGCGCACCAACTACACGCTAACGCTGCAGCTTGAAAGAGTTCTGTACGTTAGTTTGAGCTGTACCAGGCACCCTTCAGTATAGTAACTGCTCTTAAAGCAGCACATCCACGATGAAAAGCTCATCCACTGAAATAAGAATTAAAATTGTTTTTGCTCCCAGAAGGCTTCTGCCACAGTTTTTTAGTCAACTCGCGCGATGCATTTTAAGCTCTTCTTGAAGGACACAGAACAGTCCCACTGTGCCAAGTCCTGGCCGTCCTGCCAAGCTTTGTTGGAGCTCCCTTCGCTACCATCTATTTACTTCACACACATCCCATGTGCTTTAGGTAGTTTTGGCTTAAGCCTAAACAGCAAATGAGAAAAGACAGATGCCTCTCTGCAGGAACTTTTCTCACTGGTGACCCTGGGGGCTGAGTTGGCAGAGCTATCTGAACTTTGTGAGAAGGCTGCTCTGCAAAACAGCCTTACAAAACTCTACTCCCGTATTAACTGGAGTAAAATATTTACTTCGGATCAGGAAGTACAGTATTTTTTGATGAAGAGACATGTTCTGTGCTTGAGCAGGTAGTTTTATGGCATTTTAAAGCTGACCTAACATGCCTACCCCAATTTGAAATAAAAAAGGCATCCCAATTACTTTCACTAAGTGAACTCTGCCAATAAAAAGGGCCTGGAGACTGAAATAAACTCACTTTAACAGTACTGTAAGGGAAGAGATCTTCTCTTTGAAAGTGCCATATACAGGGGTACTCAGTTGTTAAAGTAAAAACAACATACAACAATATTTGCAAAAATGCTTAATATAATCTTTTGAGTCTATAAACTCTAAACAATAAATACGAAAAGTGTACGTGGCACAGCAGATCAGCTAAATACTAAAACAAGTACAAATTGGTAACACTTACCTATATTGTCAGTGATAAATTTGTCACTACTGTGATACAACACAAGCTTAATATACAAGATGTTTTTCCAAAGGAAAACCACAGGACTGAGCTGATACAGAAGGTGAGGGAGAAGGAGAGACAATAAATAACAAGGCACAGAAACCTCTCTTGCTGCAACCCCGTAAGGCACCACTGTGCAAACGTGAAACTATCAAAACCTGTAGTGGAGAAATTCTAAACATATTTAAACAACTGGATAATGTACTTTAAAGATGACACTGTGTTCATATCTTTGGGAGCAAAAAATACTTATGAACCTTTATTTACAGTTCTAGACTTTTAAAAAAAAAATAAATCAGTGTAATGGGTGAATTAATACTCAAATAGAGGAGTCACAGTTAATTTCTCCCAGAAAGCTTCACAGTGCAATTTGATCATGACCTATACCGGCCTTATTAATGAGTCCTGGATCCAATATGGTGTAGAGGAAAACGCTGCCAATTATGTCAAATTGTGTGTGGCACACTAGTAATTTTAACAAAAAACAGACTTTGGAGATTAGGATAAGAATAAACTCATTTTCACTTGTAGCCAGAAATTATTTAAATCCAGAGATAAAAAGTAAGTAGTATTAATCTAACATGACACTTACAGATCTTAATACCGAAAGTTATACCTCTAAGAACTGGGCACCAGCATTTTTCTTCCTTATTGTTATCTGCTCAGAAAATGGAATATGGACAATCTCCAGCAAAAATCTCCCTTACTAGAAGATTATAGATACATAACTAAGTTTACAAACTGTAAAATCTCCCTTTTCTCTTACGTCCCATGATCTCTACTGCATCCTGGTAGAGGAAGTTTTTGTCCTCTCTCCAATTACATAAACATCTCCAGACTATACTGAAATTATTCAAAATATGCAGAGGTTGGAACACTTTTTACAAGATGAAAAGGGAGTTTCAGTAAAAACTAAGATTTTCTTCTAAGGAAAGATTTAGGAGGCACACAGTTTTTCATGAGCTTTGGACACAAGAATGACTGTTTTGTACTTGGGAACAACGTTTGCAGACCACACTTCCAAAACTTTTGCTTCCATTTTTGCATCTTGAACAACAGCACAGCACATAGTAAACATCCTGAATGAACTTGACAATTCAGTTATAGGCTAAGTTTTGCTTCCTTACATGACATATTTCACTCTTTTTATTGTACACAGATACCTTGCCACAAATCAAAACATTTAAGGTCAGACACAATCTGTACCTTCAATGATGCTCAATACACTGAGCTGCCAGAGAAGAAAGTCAAGCCTATCTATTATATTTTAAACAACAGAGGAACTGGAAGAAGGACCAGTCTTCAGTGGTAAGTTAACGTCCATGTAGCTATTTGCCAAAAGGCTGCGCCAGCTTAGGCATGCTTCATTCCTTATATTCAGTTCTGTTGTTAAGGAAGTAATAACTTGAGCAAACACAATGTAAACAGAGCCAGGCAGACTGCAATGGTAAGGATAATATCACTGATCTGACAGGTTTAAGGCCAACTGTTTGTGATTTGAAATATATTGTACTTTTCCATGGCACTTAATACACTGAAAATTCGTACTGGTGACATTAAACAAGGGTGTATATATATTCATATCATATGCAATATATACATGTAGCTTCAGTTCCTAAAATACAAAGTTCAAGTTTTCTAGCCCAAATAAAATCAACCTGTGAACAACGACCTGTGTTCTCCTATGCTGAATAAAGTAATATTACTGCTTCAATCAATTTAGTGCAAACTGACTTAAGTCCAAAGACCTATCGTTCCTTGATTTTTAGTCACTACTTACCAAATGTCCTTATTCCTTTTAAAACACAACTACACTTTCTCTTCTTCTTAAAAGAACAGCAAACACTTGACAACTAGCATGCTGCTCTAGGCTATGTTAACCAAACCTGCCGATACACAAATCATGTTTTGGTCATGCAGCACAGACCCATCATCAAAAGAATCAATCTCTTTATCAGTCTAGAAGAGGAGCACAACTCCAGATTTTAACTAGCAGGTCATCCTGGCCACTCCGTACTCCAAGCTGACAACTCCGGGCTCGGCTTTCGAGAACTCTTCCACGAACTCGCTGTAGCGATTGTCCGCGGCGTTGCTGCCCTCTATAGTTCTCACAGCATCGCTCACAGGGATCAGCGGCTGCTCCTTCTTGAAGCACGGTGAGGGGGTCTTCAGTGCCACGGGTGCAGGAGGAGCAGAGTTCTGATGTTCCTTCTCAGGGACTGCATTTGGCTGCCCGTTTCTCTGCTTTATTTTCTGAAATATAGAGAATAGTTACTAACAGCGAGCATGACTGCTTTACTGATAATACTCTACTTTGAAAGCAAGTGAACCCGCTTCTTTTACTGGCCAGCTCTGCATCTGCAGAACTCTCTTACACACTTAGGTTAGATACCTAACAGTATTATTAAGTGTTAGGCCACTGGAGCTGAAATTCTTCCCCAGAGTTTACAGCAGATGCTTAAAATTTGCAGCAGGGCAGAGGGCAGAAAGCTTGCCTGTCAGTACCTGTAGAGAAGGAGAGGTGCTTCAGGGATTGTCCCTTGCTTGGTTGCTATCAAGATGGAAGTAAGTACTTTCTGGAGTACAGGCAGAGGAAGAGGCACCTTGGTGCTACTAGCAAGCAGGGAATTTACAGCAGACCACGAGTCTCAAAGATAAAGAGCAATTTCATACCCAAGCCCTTATGCCCTTCCTAAAATAGACTTTTCCTTTACATCTGAAAAATGTCAGTATAGTTGGTTCAAATGCAGAAATACACTACAAGATGTCAACTAGAAAGCAGGACTAGAGGAAAGAGCCCATCCTGTAAGCGCTAAAGCAAGAAAAGAAGGAAGATTTGGATTAAAGGTTGGACGTTTTGTTTGCATTTTTTTGTTGTTTAAATTTAAAAAAAACAAAACTATCTCACACAATAACTGGTAGCTTGAACTAGTTAACTGAACTGATTTTGTTGTTGATGTGTTTGTGCTCTATTAAAATTGTGACTGGGCCCAGAAGACTTTGGTATTCCTTGACATCAATTTTTTGAAGACAGAAACAACAGCAGGAAAGTCTACATCAAGATTTCAAACAATTACATCTCTTCATCACTGAAGTGAGAAACGCGGGTTAATGTGGGTGAAGTTAACACCTTGAAACAAGATTCCAAAAAATGCAAAACAGAGACTTCACTTTACACCTTGCTTATTCTTCAGTTTCCTTCATCTTGAGCTTTCATCTTGTGGTTTCAATTGTACAAAAGCTTTTAAATATACGATTAAGATTTGAAACAGTTTAAGTGACCTGCATTCATTACATTACAGTAGAATCAATGTAATAAAAATCTTACCTCCTAGAGAAGCTGCACTTCTTCCCTTGCCCCCTAATACTACATATAGGAATTGTGTTACTAATTTATGTGGCCAGAAATGGTAAAACTGATAGTTAGAAAACTTTTGTGTTTCTTAAAAAGTATTATTCTGAAATTTCAGCACCTTAACTGACTTTAATGGACTATCAATAAAAAGCTACTAATTAGGTCATAGGAGAATAAAAGGAGATACACTGTTCAGTCTTTCCTGACTGTTTACTGAAGCACCTGGTAGAAGTAATTTCTGTAAGTCAGATCTTTGGATTTAGCCTTGTTTTCACATAAGCATTACAATGTATATGCCCCATAATTATCGTGACTTAACAACAGCATGCACCTGTATATGAAGTTAAAAGAAGGACAATACTTACTGCTTCCATTTTAGTAGCTACAATGGAAATAAAACATTTTCAGTCTCCTCAGTTTAGCAACACAGCTGGAGCTATGATGGGTACCTTGTTATCCAAGTTTTACATTAATTCAACCTACATTAAGTCATTTTCAGAAAAGCTTTGATAGTAGGAGCACTTTTACATAATGCAGGTTCTTCAGTAAAGCAAAATAAATTGTGCATAAGCAAAACATTTGCTGCATAGTCTGGCATTCAGCATAGAAGCAAACAGTGAAAGTCAAAGTCAGCACTACATAGAATAAGTGCTAAGCCATATAGTAGTGACATTCATGTGAAAGCCAGCATTATTATTAGAGACTATAAATGTGAATTTGAAGAACAAGTCACAAGCACATACACTTATTTTGTAACACTTACAGCTTCCAGTTCTTTAATGTCTTCCTCCAGTTGTTTATTTTGTTCACTCATGTTCATTATAAGATTGAAAACAGACTGCCTGGGATGCATACTTCGATCAAACTGATGGTACATATTTCTCCAAAACCTGCATGAAGCAGATGGTTTTAACTACGCAGGACAAAAAGAAAACTGAATAAGACATACTCTATCTATTTTAAAATAACTTACTTAAAATTGAATGATACTGTATTAGGCTCCAAAAGAGTTAGTTCTGGAGAAAAGTCTGGATTATACAGAGGATTCTTATATTTCTTTTGTTCATCCAGAAGGAATGGCCACAAGGAATACGTCTTCTCTTTTAATCTTAAACCAAGAAGAGATTAAGTAAAGACACAGACTGCAAGCAAAATCCAGAAGCTGTTCAACTTAATCTTAACATTTTCAGTAAGAAAAAGTTACCAGAAATACTTAAAAGTCTTGAAATAAAAGCTCTTAGTAAAATCAGCTTCTTCCTGGCATCCGGTAATATTGGATAGAACTATCAGTTTTAGAAGTACTACTGCTTACGCTGTGCAAGTTTTGCTTAGTTGCAATAAATGCTTTTAAAATACAATTTGAGACAAAGATGAACCAATGAAAATTTTACCAAAGTCTTCTGCTGAAAGCATTAGGAGACATCCTATTAATACTTCTGACAGTAATCAGTCTCAAAAAAGCAAGAATTTAAAGGTTAACTAAAAACAGAATAAGGGAGGGAATAAAGTGATACGTCCAAAATTAAAATGACCTCTTTTCAGGGAGGGGGAAAAAAAAAAAAAAAAAAAAAAAAAAAGAGGGAGAACATTTGGATTTCCCTATGAAAAACAAACCTGGGATTTTTCTCCCAGAATTAGAAAGACTGTCTTCAGTGTGCAAAAGCACGAGAATCACTGCTGTTCCCTGATGCAGTTCAACATCACTTTCAGTATTATCAATCCTATCTCTATTTCTATTCAGATTCTAAAACAAAGAAGATGCACGAGAGATCTTAGTCTGCCAGAATAAACAAAAGACACCTTACAATGTCTGCTTACTTTAGTTCTTCTCGCTCTTTTTGGCAGTTTCCAAGGAAGTTACCAAACTGGCATGAGTGGACATGTTCATGGATTTGAAGGAGGAAAGCTTCATTGTACTCAAAAGCTTGTGGAAACTGCTCAGTCAGATTCCACACACTTTCTAAAAACTGGGTGAACACTGGTGAGATCTCTTTAGGATCACCATCCAACTGACAACACCTGAAAAAGATGCCATGAACAGGTAGAAAACCATTTAAGTTAGAAATAAAGTTTTAGTTGCACTTGTTTTTAAATGACAGCACATTAATTTGTCACTAGCTTTAGTCTGAAGATTAAGCACCTAACTTTGAGAACTGGGGCAGTTTTTGAATAGAAATGAGTCTATATTTAACTTATTTTTCTGACTTTTAAGTAATCACATGTCAGAAGAACAACATAAGACAGTTAAGTTCCTTTGTGTCTATTACTTCCATAGCATTTGGAGGACACCAGCTAAAAGCAAATTAATAAGCAATAAATAGCAGCAAGGTTATTGTCATAGCTGATGATAGGCAGATCAAGAGAAAAACAAAACCCTTCACATACAGGACTTCTAAAGGTAGGTATGACTTCATGATTAAAAGTAAACATAAATGCAAACTCATTTTTAAAGATCTTAAAACCATTTTATATTGCCTAAACAGCCGAGACATAGCTTTAGGTTGGTTTTGCACAGTCCATGCGTGCATGCAAATGTAGCTGCAGTTAAGATCTGGGAGTGAGGCACCAGTAGCACTAGAAATTTATTTCTATAATATAAATCAATTATCCAATAGGCATTTGAATAAATAGCAACACACAAAGTGCACTCTCTACTGAAAATAGCTTACTCATTGCAAAGTTCCTAGCAACACTGCAGTAGTTTAACATCCACAAGTTGTCTTTCATTTTTAAAAATACTTCAGTTCACTGTATACATTTTACTGTAGTGTAAGAGTGAATTACCTGTCAGAGAACTTGTGCCCAAAAGAGATCCAATCTTTCTCTATCAAGACCTGAAGGGTAAAAACCAAACATCTCACATAAAGTGTTACTTAACCTTACATCTATAGCATTAACACCACAGAGCATTGATAAATTGTATTTTAAAGTTGGAGCAACTATTTGTCACTTCATAGTTCCTTTGTTTTCTCGGAAATCTTTCTCAAGAGATTCCCGAAGCACAATTCTGAAACTAGTAAAAGTCTAGCGGGCTGACAATCAGGTAACTGCTGTTCAGCCAGGCTTGCTTTAGGCAATGTATGACTTCATGAACAGATTTTCAACCAACTTGCAAAAAAGTTGCAAAGCACAAAAAAAAATAAATCTACTATTGCATTCCTACGATCACAGTTTTCATACAATTACACAATATAATCTTCGTAACATTTAACAAAGTTTGTTAATATCAACACCAGCTTGTTTTATCACTTCAGTCATGGTATCAAGCACCAAAAGGAACACAAAGACTGCCTGCCTATTGCAGAAGCTTTCCCAGAAATCAAATTTATAGTGAAGACTAAACAAAAAGATGAAATTGCTTCCCCTCAATTTCACTTTTGTTCCTTGGAATACTGGTGGCAGGTAGTCCTAACCAATACATGGAACTACTTTTATGTACTATCTTACAGGAGTTCACCATAGCACCTTGTGTTGCCACTGCAGAGAACTGTGATTTTCCTACTCAAATTTGGAATAATCATACCAAAATTCCTCTTCCTTTCTATAGAAAGGTGAAGAAATTTAGATTGTTTAAATATCTTCAGGTCTCTGTCACTGGAGGAGTTGTCATTTTTAGACTCTAATAATGTTAATTGGGGATAAGCGAAAAAAGCACAGTACTGCTATAGTTTTGTACATCTACTCGCTCACGTAAGCACTTTGAAATCATAAATAAGGGGCTTTTTTTGGATGCAAAAGGCAATCATTGCAACATTTCTGAAAGGTGCCTAAAGCAATCCACTATTCGTATTTCAGTTCTTGAGATCTTAAATGGTTCTTCCAAGTAGCAAAATATTTCCAAAATAAATATATTATCAGTATATTGCAAATCTTGTGTTTCCAAGTACAAAAAAAAGCAAGCATCGGTTTGTTTACACTCAGAAATGTTATATCCTATATTTACCAAGGAACAACTCAACAACCCAACTGCTAGCTTACCATGAATCCTTTGATCGTTCTGTAATAGGAGTCTAGTAAGAGAGCTCCAAGGGAACAAACTTGGGAAGTCCTATCCCAGCCATCGGAGCAGTGCACCAACACGCTCGCACTCTCAACCGCTACTGCCTGCAAAACACAGTTGTTCTTTAGTGAATATTCTATTCTAGACAGCAGTCAAAGTTCAGTAAATAAATAGAAAAGCTATGTTTATCCCAAACTCACAGCAGAGATCATTTCATTTAACAAAGCCATGAAAATGTTTATTATGAAGCAAGGATTTGATATTATCAGAAAAGCCAGGAATTTCTCTCCATGGAAGAATTTAAAAAAACCCACATCCTTATAAAGAAAAAATTCCACTACACCTTTACACAAGACAACAACAATAGCTACAGTATTTCCCAGTTTTCTTTCTATCACTTGTTAAACTATACTTATAAAAAAGCCCTGCAATGTGTACTAAGAAAGAAGTAGACTACACATTACAGACCAAAGAGGTTAAAAAAAAATAAAAATAAACCAAACACACCACTGAAGATGCCCATTTGTTTTTTGAATTTCACACCCTGCATATTAAGTATAATTTTGCCTGGTAGCAAGTCCAGCTGCCATCAAACAAAGAAGCAGCACACAAGTTACCTTAACTAGGAAGACAGCAGCATCCAACACAGCTTTGATATGACGCAACCATCCAGAATTCTCCAAACCAGACAAAAAGTCATTGACAGACAAACCCTTCGTGCCACTGACTGAAAGAAACAAAGAGTTAGAAAGCTTTAAGCAGTTGCAGCCACCAATTCTTCTCGGTCCATTGTAGGGTATAATTGTATATTGTTTGTAATGCCCTGTGTAAATTGATAGGATATCTTTTAGGAAACTACCACTCAAGTAGTTGAGAGGGAGTACTACAAAGTGTTCTCCATCCATGTGTCTTTTTGACAAAGTAACATTCAAAGTAAATGCAACTGTTATCCCCAACAGGGAGCTTTAGCTTTACTAAGGAAGGCAACACAAACACCACAAGCCAAGAAACACTTAAAAATTACAGCTACTAGTAGTAATTAGCCAGGAATTAGTCCAGAGTAGTCAGACTGCCAGAGTTTCATTATATTCTCTTAGGCAGAGTGGAGAAGAAAGTGCAGTACAAGGACACAGTGATGAACTGAAAACTATTGAGATTTTGTCTACCTCCAGACTTGACTTGCTGCAAATTCTGACTCCAATCTCTACCACTCTTCCCTAGTATACTTTGATCCTGTAATAATAATGCTGATTGAGAGGGCAGGGGAGAACTCAAATTTAAGGAAATCTGCCTTGCAGCATAACAGCAAGAGATGTAGAGGCAGACTGCAAGTTTCTCACACAGATGCTTACAAACTCACCCGGTTCTTATATGATTTTGAATGGCAACTTGCAGTTACATTACTGTCCAAACATTACAAGCTTCTGGCAATAAGAAATATTCTCTGGTTAGTATAGTGTCAGCTGTGTACAGTTCTAAGAGAAGATATGCGGGGTTGCCATCTATAAAAATATCTGTCCTCGTAATAGCCAAAACTTAGCTTCTACCAAGCTTAATAGTTGGTTTTGATGATCTTAAAGGTCTTTTCCAAACTATATGATTCTGTGATTCTAAGCTAGTGGGCCCCAAATGAAAATATAAAGGCTCTGCAGGCTGAAGCCATCTGTGGGAATACTCATACAGCAGCTGCAAAATAATCTTTATCTCTGACTATAGAGGGGAAGTGAGTCAGGAGGGAAAGTAGAGAACAAAATTCACCAAGTCACTCTGTGACGCAGTTTCATGTTCAATCAAGGCCCCTGAAGTAACAAAGGCTATAAACTCCTAAACCACTGCCTCACAGCGCCTTCCTGTACGTGTACTAGGTTTATCAGCTTTCAGCCATACAAGTTTTAGTGTGCTCCCCATGGCTCAGGAAGAGTCACGGTGCCCGTTGCTGCTGACTGCTGTAACAAAGACAGGCTTCCACATAACTATCACCGCACCTTTTCTAAAGCCTACTACCTGATACTTTCAGCTATGTCACATTCTCTACACCAGTTGTTCCATACACGTATTGAATCACAACAGTATGCAAACAGGTCCACCACTCTACGGTAAATGAAAGAAACTAAAAATATTCAGGTATCTGGAAATTCGGGCATCTGCAGGGAAGGGACTGGACAGACAAGGCAATGTCTAGAGGTGCCATTCACGGCTGCTTATCCCTGCATTCTATAGCTTATTATTGAAAGCACAGACTTTCAGCTAGAAAATAAACAGGCTTCCAGTCGTCAGTTTGTTCTCACCTGGATACTGCTGTCAAAATCTGCTTTTGATCACTGATTTCAGGCTGGTAGAAATATTTCAGCACTGCTATTGCTCCCTTCTAGCTAGATTGCTATATTTTGTAAACCAAGGCAGAGCTAAGAACACATACAGTAACCCCAAAGAACTACTTCCCCTTTCTGTGGATTAAGACAGACATTTTTATACTACTTAGTGATGAATTAAAGAAATTGCATTGTTTTGACACTTACATGCTGAAAAAACCAACAAATTTCTAGTCCTGGTGGTCCCTAAATGGGTCAAAGATGATTTATGGTACCCACCAAGATATTTAGCTGCTTCACAGTAACAATCATTCAAAGTAGTTTTGGCTGCAGGGATCCCATCATAAACTCATGCCCTGCACACATGTGAGCTCCAAAACATCACTGTTCCATTGCTTGATTGTCCTTATACACACTACTAGCACCCCCTCAGGCAGCAGTTCAAGTGACTAAAACTAACACAGTGGGCTAAGGGCAGAAGTGTTTGTTTTTAACAACAAACCAACCCAAACAACCCCACTCACCCACACACACACTCCACATAACCCATCAAAACCCTCTTAGTTAATACACTTCCAGCATCAAAATATATGCAGCAGATCACAGCAGCTATTATTGAGCCTTTTCTTCAAATATTTCCTGCAGAAATGCCATTTCTTAATGTACACAAAACCTTTTTGCCTGTCAGAGTTCGGTCTTCTCTGACATGTAATATGTTTTTAAATACAAAAAAATTGGTCTTTAACACCACAGCCACAAATTTAGTCTATGTGAAGATCCTTCCCTTAGTATTCGACAGATGGGCAGTCTGCCCATCAGGTGAGCAGAGTCATCGTGTCCACACTGAAGAAAACTATTTTAGAAGAGTTACGTCTCTCTGCATGCAAGGTATTTAAATAACATTTGAATCCAAGATGATGGATAGACTCTAAATCCCTTTAGTTCCATTACAAAAGGATGTTGGGAAGGATTGTGTCTCACATTCTGCAGATGGAACCATTAGATTCTGAAGGACATTAGGAAGACAAAGAGCCTAGGAGCTGGATACACGCTGCAGAACGAACAGCAGTTGTTTGTTATAAATAAAACCGAGGACAGTCCCAGTTACAATGGCTCTTGAAAGAACAGGGGCACTGGTATCACATTCTTGATTTGAGAACATTCAGTTCAGCACATCCAGGGGAAGCTGGCAGGCAGAAGTTAAATGGCATTTTCCTTGTTTTAAGCTATGAACCATTTTCACAGCATTTCCTTCATGATTACCCCACTGATAGCACAACGCTACAGGGGTCTGAAAAGTAAATTACCGCATACCTCCCTAAATTATAATGCTCATTTCTACCTCTAAAAAAAGATGCTTCCACTTCTAGACTGGCATTCAGTAAAACTCTAGGGAATTATACAGCCTGAACTGAGGTAGAATGACTGTGTCCATTTACCCCAAAACCTGATCTGGAGCGTAACTACAGACATTACACATGATTTTGTTTCAATCAAGTTTAAATAAACAAATCCACACAAGGAAAAACTAAAACATATTTGATCCTTAATGAAAGCTACTGAAGGATATTTGGTACAAGATATAGGATGCTGAGAAAAATGGGAGCAATAAAAAGTCTGAAGTTTAGCTGTGTGATGCAAAAACTTCTGCATCAGACATTACTACACAAGAACAAGCCTCTTAAAAATAAATTAAAAAAAATCAAGATTTATTAGCTAGTTTTCTGGAACTGAAGAAGATATTAGCAAGACAGAGAGAGGGATTATCCCAAACTTAAAAACTGAAGTTTGAGCTCATGCTGCTCGTCTTTGCCTTCAACGAAGTACATGCAGGAATAATCACAAAAAGACATATTATTGAAGCCCAGCAGTACTTCAGGCAGAGTGCCTGAAAAATATGTTAGCAGCAGATACAGGCTCAATAAGAGTGAGGTAAGACTACACTACGAGTCCAAAAGATTCCTTGATCAATGAAGCCACAGTGTCTTCATCAAAATAGCCTTCCATTCAAGCATAAAACTCTATGACTGGAAAGCACACATAGGTATATACATGTATGTAGGTGTGGAAAAACAGAAGTCCTTCCCACAAGCCACAGACATACTAATCAAGTTCACCAAAGACATATGTGCCACTCAGATAATTTTCTTCAAAATAACTCCACTCATTTTGCTTACAGTTTAAAGGTAAAGGTTTAAGGTAATTCATTACTATTACAGCACAGTTAGAACATACCTTCCAGAAGTTTTTGTAAGCTGGATCTCATCACATGGATATTTTCAATGCCAACAAACTGGAACCTAATGTTAGAGTAGTTGTCTTCATTCTCGTAGCCCTTCCCGGCAGCTCTGTTTGCCATTGCATTAAGCTTAAGAAGGCAAAATAAAAATCCTGAAGAACAGTACTCGCAATAAAAATCTCCAGTTAAGAAACAAAAGTCATGTCATTTCAATGGAATACACCAGGGTGGAAAAGAACACACGAGCACAAACTATAAACAGATTCTAATAAATTAACAGTTTGTGGCAAAACAACTTGAAATCATTTAAGAAAGGCACAGTAGATAAAAAGCAATGTATTTAGAGCAAACATATCTGAATAATGCATTTAATAATTTCTTTCCTCTCCTCCATAATCCCATCAACAAACCTTTACTTATTTCTAAACATTACTTTACAGAGACATTACAAAGCAATTAACCTAAAAAGGACAGAGTAAGATCCAGACTTAACCATATGTGCACATTCCAGGCATCCTAAAAACCTCAATTTTGGGGATAGGAAACTAATAAATTGCTGCAGTTATAAAAACTACAACTATAAAAAAGCCACAGATGGCTCAGTTTCAGTCTGTCAGATCAAACTTACTGCCAAACCCTGATGAAAATCAGTGCAGATCCTACAGCATAAGATTTTCACTTCACATCCTTGTTTTCCAGCTCCTGTGTTAAGATACTTCATTGAAATGAATACCAATTCAAAAGCAGGTGGTCTAAAGTGAAAGTTACCCACACAGGTCAAAACCCTATCATAATGCAATTTAATTAGACACGGATGAAGTATGACCTTAGAATGCTACAACAGTGTTTGTTCTGCTTCTTTTTGGCTAAGACAGAAAGAGCAGTTTTCAGCCAACACAGTACTCCTTCCCATTCTAAAAGAAATTCCAGTACAGCTCACTATTCCATTAACTTAATTTATAACAATGACAATGACTTGTATCCCACTCAACTACTCACTTCTTATTTATAAGTATCTTTTCAAATGCATCTCCCCCCAAAAGTTCACAGTGAAGTCTAGCTGAGACCCAAGAGGTGTTTGACTTTCAGAAAAAAAGTAATTAAACACCTGAATATAGAGGCCTAACCTTACTTTTAAGGAACATTTTTGCCCATGGAGTCATACGTAGCTCCAAATTTTTCAGAATTACACTGTATCCCTGTACTCTAATGTTCAGAAAGAGAGGCTAGTTTGTAGAACCTGAAGCAGTACCTTTGGCCTGGTGTCCATGACATACATGTAGCGATTTGAAGGATTTGCTTTACTGATGGCTTGCAACATGTGTTCATCTTCCAGGCACCTGGCACTGAAACCTGAGAGAGGTTGACTGCATCTGCAAATTGCAGCCTACCGTACAAAACAAAGAGTAAGTTAGCATCAGTTTAATACCTTTAGCTGAAATGCTTGGCACAATTCTAAAGAGAAACAAGTGGCTTCAATTTGTTTCATTCAGCAGGTAACAGCACTAAACTGAGAAAAAGTTCAAGCATTTCAACTTTTTAAGCACATCGCTTGCAGACCATCACAGTACACACCGCTTTAAAGGTTTATTAAAACTGGTTTTTTCAGGCTCATTTACATGGGCGAGGTGCCAGTTTACCTAATAGACTTTCCCCAAGTATGGAAATTAAAAAAGGCTGGAAAAAAATACACTTTAGGAAAGAAAGCTACTCTCCCAGTATGAAATGAACTATGGTTGGTTTTACTACCGCAAGTACGATTTTATTATTCCAAGTACAATATGTTATCATCTGATGTAATTTTCAACATGTCATTTTTGGTGACACTGTATTTCAGAAGGCATCAGGTGCACCTTCCAAATAGTAATTATCTTCAAATGTAGTAACTTAACATTCATCCTTCCTAAATTCTTCAAAAACGGCAAGATGACAATATTCTCTCCCTTCAAAGACATCCCCCATCTGAGACCAGTAGAAGCTGCTTCACAGCACTCTCTACCAAACCCTGTAAAATCTTATTTCTCATCCTTTAGTTGTTTTTATCTTGCAAATTCCTCCTTAAAGAATGAGCCCTATTCTTCTGGTGGGTTTTTTTCAGCCCCCATTTTGACCTCAGGATTTTATTTTTGATATATCAAGGAAGACAAATCGCTTGACAAAGAGCTATCTTCAGATATCTTAAGGTTAGTTTTAAAGCTTTAAGAGATTCAGCTGATTATCAAGCTATAAGGATTTCTTTTAAAATGGCTTAACTTAATTCAGCATCCTGTTAGACATCACTAGTGTCAGCTGTATTTAAGGTAATCATGAGTTATACCATTCTCACAGAAGTTACTGTACTCACCTCCTTACCTACCCTGAACTACTGACATGTGTTGTGAAATAATTTTCAGTACATTTGCATTAAGAGGAAGACACTATACCTCTTTATTTTTATGATAATATGACAACACTGGGAATCTTCCTTTGCTTCTGAACTTGGAACTACCAACAATTATGGGCTTGCTTGCCGTTCTAGGAACATAAAGTTCTCTAGGATAGGTTTCACAAATCTGAAAGAGACAGACACACAAGAACAATTTAATGTACAAGGCACAAAGCCTGTACTAGTTTTACTGCAACCAGTTTCAGAGATGTTAGGTGAAATAAGAAAAAAGATGAACACTAACGTGTCGCTATATGTGAACAGCTCAGAAGAGGAGACAAGCAATGGATAAAGAAGTACAAACTGGTAACCAAGTTATACAACCAAGCACTGCTATACCCACCTCTCAAGAATACAAATATTCAGAATGTATTTTAAGTAAAATACTTAAATTACTTCCTTCACTTTTTTTGTATTTGCAGACTACAAAGTAAGATGAAACCTAATCTGTGAATCAGCTGCACCACCACAGCCATTGTTACCAAAAAGAAGATGCTAAAGTAGTTAAGAGAGGTAACAAAGCTGCAGAGCACCAAAACTGCTGGGGCTGGGCTTAAAGCAGGTCAGTAGACTCGAAACACTCCCAAAGAACACACGCATCCATGCACACGCATTCTCTTAACGACACCTTGGAAAAAACTTCAATTAGAAAGTTGGGAGACTGCACATCGATTAAGGAGTTAATTCCACCTGCAAGTTTTTTCTGATATTGCAAACCAAGTGATTTCATAGTATTAGACTGTTTCCTATAGGACTAGTGTCAGAGGATAAATCAGAAAGACTCAAAGCAAAACATGTTTCCCGTCACAACACTTGCCTTATAATCACGATTTGCATCGGACAATTGCCAGTAAGCATTTGGCACTCCCATTCTCTTATATTCATCTGCTAGATCAATAAGCTGCCAACCTTTGACTTGCTCAGATTCATTTTGTTTTGGATTATAGGAAAAGGCATACAATTCTTCATATTTTGCTAAAAGGCAAAGAAAAACGTGATGTAATGAGTTGTTCCCAAAAAAGTCCAAGTGAAGAAAGGTAGCAGAGTTGACAGGTCTTGAAATTGCCCAAACAGCAGAGAATGTTTCAGGCTTCAAGCTTCTCAGAAGCAAGATTAAATAGATACTTGAAATATTTATCCTTCACTTATCATAAAGTTAACTGACAACAACCTTAAACAAAGGTTATGAGAGCTTTCTTCAGTGTGCTCGACCTGTCTCAGCAGGGACACTTCTAAAGCCACGAAAGCAAAGCACAAGTCACAAAATGAAGATTGACAAAATTAAACAAGACAAAAGGTAGAATTATTAGAAGACTTCTCAAGAGCTAAAAGATCAAGCAACTTCTGGTGGTAAGAACAGAATTTTACTTTTACTGACCCTTAAAAACAATAAGTTTTAAGGTTTCCTTTAAAGCAAAGAAGGTTTCACAATATTCTGGTTTTCCTAATACATGATTCACATATCACAGACAATGATGTTTTGCATTGTTCTAAACACAAAGCAGAAAATACAAAAGACCATACTAGGTGACAGAAGGCTCTTGTAAAGCTGAATTGGTAGTGCTATTTTAGCACCAAAACTTAAGTTTTATTTCTGAAACTGCACGAAATCAGTAACACGTCAGTATTTGCTTAGTAGCATTTTATCCGTGGAACAGATGAAATAAGAGACTATATGCACTTATAGTCACAATTTCAGGGATAACACTAGAAATGCAAAAACTATAGGAATCTCACATTCTGTTACTGAATATCGGTGACCTACAAAAGCTAGACAATACATCTTCTGAATTTATATGCAGATTAATACTTAATCATTACAATTTCTATGCACCAAACCCACTTAAGACTTCTACATAATGCAAGTGGGTTTGGGTTTTTGTGGGGGATTTTTTTTCAAAAAAAAAAAAAAAAGCACCATGGATTTCCACCCTCCCCTCTACCAACTAGCAATCCATGCAATTACTGCCGTCTTTTATCATTAGAAGTATTACCTGTTCTTGATAGCTGAAGCAAAGAGTTATAAATGTCATGACAATCTCTCTCTCTGGGAACAACAAAATGAACTATCCTGAAGTTCTTGCACTGGATGACAAGAGGGCAGCCAGAAGTAGTCAGGGGAAGCTTTTCCACTGTAGCAATGTGATGATGTAGTATCTGTAGCACACAAGAACTCGCAGCATAAGCACACTGATGAAAAATGCAAACAGCATACTATTCACAAGAGCAGGTATAAGACACATCAAATGATGCTGAATATGGATTTTGACTAAATTTGTCAATCATTTCTATTTAGAAGAAACCCAAGACTGACATTTTGGTCAGGATACCATAATTTGTCAAACTTAATTAACCTCTTCCATCATATTTTGACATGTTACCTAATGTTTAAAGAACGGTAAATATCCTTCTAAACGCAAAACTGAGAAGTAAAACTCCACCGCAGTTGCTGACAAGCACGGATCTAATTAGCTAAGGTCCAAACAGGAGATATATATAGATATATATTTTTATTTTCTTTTTAGGGTCATACCAGAACATATTTCATAATTTTCAGGCAAAATAAAGCAAGCTAGGGAATGTATAAAAGATAGAGAAGATGCTGAAGATTTTCAAATTCCAGTGTTTAACATCCATAGAACAAACAAGAGATAAAAAAAAAAAAAAAAAAAAATCTCCTATACTACCCACTGTGTTACATAGACATGTCTCTCAGCTAAATGTCTTTCAACCATTTTAACAGAAGACTGTCACAGTAATGAATATACAAAACCTCTCCATAGATTTATCTGTAGTGAAGCTACATAAAATTTAGGAAAATATATGGGAAAGTAACAGCTGTTCAACCTTGTGAAGAAAACCACAGATACATTACCTCAATTAGCTCACTGAAGAAATAATCTCCTCTTAAATACTGATCAGAAACAGACAGGCATCTGATAACTGCACTGCCAAATACGCATTTACAAAGAGACTGTATCTTGGAGACATCATCATAATCATGCCTAGTACTTGCATTATCATCACAGAAATACAATACTTGAAGTGTAAGCTCAATTTCCCCAAAAGAAAACCTTTTAACATAGTGCGCAGGGAGATACAAGTAATACCTATGAATCACATTCTCTCCAATAAGCCATTTTGTATGAAAAGGTAACAGTTTAGTTTGTACAAAGTTGTACATTGTATCCAAAAATAAATCACAGGAAAATAACTTTTCTTGAAAGCACCCTGAGTCATCGAGATAATGAGGATACAGGATTAAGGGTAACCCAGAAAAAAAAGCTCTGCAGCTAATATACCCACAGAAAAAAAACCAAACCAAAAACAAAACAAAAAAAACCCAAAACTAAACACACCCAGGGAAATGAGGTTTCATCCTGAAGGATGATAGGCTTAAGGCACTGAACTTGGGGAGCTGGGCTACACTGGAAGCCAGAACTTGACATCCACATGTGCCACCAGGGCATTGAGCAGAAAAACTAATGGGAATTACTGTACTTGCCAGCTTTGATTGCACAGCATTGGCAGCAGTCACCAAGAAGCTGCAGCCCCTTCTGAATTCTTTTACTGCAGGAGACAAACACTTAGGAAGAAGCAGCTGCTTACCACTCTAAAGAAGGGCATGTGATTTTCAATATTTCACCGAAGCCTAGATCTTTGGATTTTGCTGTCTGATTTAACCTAGGCAGGATCTAAATATAAGGTAAGTTAACAGAGAAATTTTAAAACTGATGATTAAACTATCCAGCAGTCTCCCACTCCTGCCTCTGAACTGCAGTGGAAGTCAGTTGTTTAAAAGAAAACTACCACACATTCACTCAGGAACACAAGCAAAGGCTACAGAAGAAATTACAGCAGCTTGAAGTGAACATTTTCAACATTACCCAATTTCAACTGCAGCAGCGTCATGCATGAATACAATCTGAAAATCACTAACTTGTTACGATACCATGAACAAGCAGACTGTGGGGGATAACTTACACCTTAGATGAACATTTAGTTAGAAGAAAGAAAAAGAAAAAAAATCAACCTTAGGTCAGGAATAACAAATGCATTCGAAGAACCTACAGTTTTGAGCTGCAAGCACCCATAGTCCTTACCCACGTCTCTCTCTGGCTTGAATCTATGAATAACAGATGAGTTGCTGTAAGGTACAGAGTTCCCGTCAGCGACTTATTGCTCGTGCTGAATCTATCTAGTAATTTCACTTGTTCTACCTGTAAGGAACAAAAGGGGAAGGGGAACAAAATTTTGGTTTAGTTGGTTTGTTGTTTTGGTTTTTTTTTCAGAACACAGCATCTTAACTTCACAAAGACTTTGTCAGTTTGTACAATAATTTTGAAAATGGCAGAAAGCATAACACGGCACACGTAAAGCCATTTAGGCCAAGCTATTAAGAACACACAAGTTGTCATATGAGCTTTGAGAAGACTGATGAGTTAAAACATTCGTTTCAGTACAGAAGTGTGTAACAAAGGCACAATGCTGGCCTCATCAGAATACTTACTTCACATACAAAACTACTATGGTTACTTACTAGTAAAACAAACCAGGGTATCAAGTTTTCAAAAAAAAAAAAATAATTAAAAATTATTAACGACTGAGATTTTAGACTGCTTCCCCAAAACAGAGCAAACACAGAGTAACAACTTCCTGTTGAGGAAGCAGTGCACTAACAGCTGATTTCAGCAACACGCTTTGCTGGCTATCTGCAGACGCAAAGCCATAAAGACTATGTCCTCCTGCCTTCAATTTTAGTTATTTTGTTCTTTTTCTATAATTCTCAACATTAAAAATCTAGATCATCGTAACCTTGTCTCACAGTCAAAATAAATTCTAATGAAATGCAAGCATTATACTATTAATTATAATAACCTCATAGAAATTCAAAGACTCTGCTGGCATTTGAACCTGCTATTTCAAGCCTGAGTCTTGCAACAGCAGATTTCTCCTCTTGTTATTCCATCAACATTGTTATCTCAATCCTATGGAAAACATTTCAAAAGAAAGTGATTTCTTGATAGCCTGCATTTTATCTGCTGCTCACAACCTCACGGGCTCCACAGTTTGCTCTATTTGAAGCAAACATTACATGATTCTTTGTCTGCAGCAACAGGAAAGAAGTGTGGCAAAAGGCTTATCTCCATGCATTCCTCTATTTCTTGGCAGCACTGTCTCATTAATGCCAAGTTAAAGCTCTCATGCCTGAGGTTTGCTGCTACTGCCATGAAATACACGGCAGAAGTCCAAAACTTTTCACACCAGCAAGACTAGCACCCAGATGAGGTGACTGGGAGAGCTCACATCTACTGTTCTGATGTTAAGCCATTTTTAATTCATACATACAAAGTTATTTATCTACTAAAAGCACATAAGACACTAAAAACTTGCTTTTTCAGTTCAAGTATTTCTTACAATCAAGGGCAACGTAATTTTGTTTTCAAAAGTTAGAAAACACATACAAAACAGAACGGAGGAAGTACAAATATCTACTAAAAGCCAGCACTACAATGACATTCTAGATTTCAGTTTAAAAAGCAAAACAAATAGAAGCTACATGCATCAGCACCTCAAAATACATTAAGCTGTCACCAGCAAAGTATCAGTGCTCAGGTACAGAGTAGTATAAATCAATATAGCACAGTCAAAATGCAGAATTCATTTTGGGCAGTTCTGCACCAGTAACTGCTCAAGTACTGGCACTGCACCTTCCCAGCAAATTGAGAAGTGCACAGAAACTGCTCCTGTTTTGTTCCAGTAAAAAAAAACACCACAAAATCCAGGCATGCAAAGTTCCATTCTCCTCCATGAAACAAGGCAGCTATTCTCAGAGCTGTGCTTCTATGTCAGATGAGGACAGGGGATTAGTGCTCCAGCTTTCTCTCACATATGTAAAGTTTCAAGAATTCTGAAAGCTAAGTTCTAAACATACTTTTCTTAAAGACAACTGAAACAATTTAGATACAATCTCCACAGAGAACACGTTCATTAAAACTTCACTCAAACCAGCTTTAATGCGTACTCAGATAGATATGTTTGGTTGGTTTTTTTTACTTTTTAATTGTGAAGTTTGGCAAACCCTTAGTTATGAAAAACATATTGGTCATAGCTTTTGAAGAGAGTGTGTTCACAAGACTAAGAGACTGAAGACTGCTATGGAGTTTTAGTATGTTTGTAAACAGAGATTATTTAGGTAGATATTATTTAAATAGAGAATATTTAAGTATCGGAAATTATATTTTGACAGTAGCTAGCACTAATAAATTAGTGAGTTTTTAAACTAGTAAGAATTTGACCAGCTACCTCAATAATATAGAGCCAAAGAGGCATCAGACAGTTTACTGAAACTACGATTTACAGGTTACAGGCAAAAACAACAAAGGAGTGTTTCAACATAGGAGCCCAATTGGAACAGAAAGGAAGTCTGAACCTACACCTCTGACATCTTTCATTAAAAAAGCTAAAGAATTAAGTTAGAACTCTTAAACCAAGACAAAAACAATTACAGTATATTATTTCAAGATTACTTTATTACAAATTTGTATGACTTCACTGAAATTAAAAGTAGCTTTCCCTTCCCCATTTAAGTACCTGTCTTGCAAATTCAACATAACCAAAACTTTCCATCTCTAGTAGAAAACTAATCAGTATTTTCACTAAAACGTATTTGACTCTGATTATATATGCTTGACTGAAAAAATTCCAGTCTTTTCCACTACATTTTCCTTTGAAATATTTTAAGGATGCTTCAGTTCTAAAGCTTCACTGCAAAACTACAATATTCTTATTTGTAATTTCATGCCACTTATGACATATTGCGAACTGGGTTTCATCATTTGTTGCTATTTAAGTATATATTCTCATACAGAAACAATTTTTTACTTCACTTCTTTATTTAACATAAAAAGACAGATAATTTAATTTTACAAAAAGCTAAATCTTATTTCAGGTAACTGTGCTGACAGTTCTAAGACAATTTCAACATCAACATTTCCAGTAAACTAAAGTTTGAGGAGGAATAAAACCTATTTCATCACCTTCTCCTACGGATGACAACTTCCCTGCACAGCATTTAATTTGTGTAAGACTGCACTGTTATTTTAAGTTTATGTCACTATTACTTTAATAAAACAAATTGAAAAAAATATGAAGTGCTACCAGATTCAAAAAAAGTAGATATGTCTTGGATCTGACAGAATGAGAACCAACTTGAACATACACATGTGCTGAACTTTCAAGGCCTGCAGTGCAGCCTGTACTTTAGTTTCCTTGCTTCCTATAACTCTTAATACTCATAATTACCATCTAGCATACAGGCTTTTTAATCCACCTGGATGTTCACTAAATCAACAGCTTACAAAAGCCTAACTGAATATCACAATTATAACCAAAATTTTATGCTATTTCTAGCCAGGAAATCAATGTTTTTAGAATGGGCAAGTTTTTTTGAAGCAATTATAAAAATAATTCATACAAGCAGTTAAGTCTCATAGCTTGTATGCTGTATTCAAAGGTTGTTTCTCTCTTCAATTATATTGCTACATGAAACATTCTTTCCTCAGCAGGGGCCCAAAAGCATGCAGAAACACAAACACTTGCAGATGCAAAGAAATCAGTGACCTGTAGCCTTTCTAGTCTTAATTTCAGGTTTGAAACTTAAATGGCTACTCAGATCATCAAGAGACATTGGTTTTTAGTCCTGTTTTTTATTTTGAAGTTAGCTACTGACTGTAACAATACTATATTAAGTTCCCAAACAAGGAGTTTCAGGCTTATAAGTAAATAGGCTGATAAAGAAACCTTATCTCACATCTGTGAGCTTGATGCCAGATTATTACATCTAGTAAACTAACAGCTGCATCAGAGACCTTTCTCCTGTTTCATACATACATGACAAACAGAACTAGCTATACACATAGCACCTAAATTTATCTGAGCTATTACTCAAAAAAATTAGAAGCCTGTTCCTTTATATAAATATTGGCTATAAACCTACTATTTGGAGGTGAAATACGACCACTTCTTTCCTCCACTCTAAATGTAGTTAGAGTCAGACTGCCAGGTTAGGGAACTAATCACTTGACGATTTCCACCATCTAACAGTGAGGGGCAGTCTTTGCAGCAGCCCTTGCAATCAGGGCTGACGAGCAAAATGAGAAAAACACTGAAATTTAATGCTACAAAAGCTGTGACTTAAAAACTTACTTTAAAAATATGTACAAGAAGAAAGGTTTATGTCTCGGGTTTTTTTTATTTTTAGTTTGTCTTTATGATGAGAATGTAAAAAAGTTAAAAAAAAAGGTCTAAGATGTCAAGTGCACCTTAGCTTTTTTTTTTTTTTTGCATAGGCTAACACGCTGCACAAGTACTGACAGCTTGCGTTCCTAACACACATCCCCCAAAGTCTTTAACAGAAGGAAAGAAAAAAAGCTGATTTGCCTCCAAAGCTCCAAAAAGCTGCCTGGAACCGGCGTCCCGAGTACAAAACCCACCTGCAAGCATCTCCCAGCTGGGCTGCTTCTG